TGATTAAGTAAATTCCCAACAGTACCATCATCTTCCTCCACCATCCTTGACAACAGAACGTTTTACCTAGCCCTAATCTCTTCGACCATGATTTAGATAATGCCAGCTTCAACGAGTATTTTAGCATTCAAGTTCTAGAACAATTTCCCAAGATAATTTGCCATTTCCATACTCATCTCTTCCGTACCTGTTCATTTAACTTTTAACAATTATTGTAAGTCACTTTTAATTGGTTTCCTAATTTTTTGCTTCAGTAGGATATTACATTCAACAATATGAGCTGACTTTCCAATATCCAATTCCTTATTATACAACTCCAGTAATTGCTTCAGAATCACCTGCTTTTGCTTCCTGCAGTCACGGCTTCCATTTTGATATTAGACCCCGTTTGGGGCCCCCCATTATTTTGCATTTTTGGGATTGAAAATTTTTAGAATAGTGATTGATGGGAGAATGTATGGTTGCAATTTTTTTAATTTGTGTGTAATATTATTTTATTTGATAAATGTGTGGGTGAAATGAAGTGAGAAAAAAATTAATATAATGTAATGTAATATAAGTTATTGGGGGTCAAACAAGGGCTAAAAAACCTAGATTGTCTTACATTGTTCGATTGAAAAAAAAAAAAAACCAGAGATCAGCCTGCAACCTACACAGTTTGATAATATCCATTATTTATCAGCGTTACGATGCTTTCTTAGATGGTACTATCAAAAAAAGAGCAATCTATAGGCATTTGATCTTATCACAATTTGATCGGATTTTGACTATTCATTACTGAAACTACGTTTCTCATTGACATGTATTAAATATTGAGAACTATATTTCAAATATCAAGAACTTTAAATGTATAAGACTCTTATGTTCGGAATGAATCTCGTTCTAGACAAATGAAGTATCAAGATAAACAAGGTTCAAATATCGATAAAAACTTTTAAAATGTCAAGAACATCATTTTAATGTAACTTATCATTGAAGCTACTACTTTTTTTCGAAATTCATGATAAATTGAAAAAAAAAATGCTTTATTTTTTTATTAAGTGTATAATAGACAATTTGGTACTAAATTTGACCATTTTTGCAAGAGTTATCAAAATTGGACATTTTTTAATTGATAAACATGAAATTAGACATTTTTGTAAATTCCTCTTTTCATTATTTATCTCATTATCAAAAAAAAAAAAAGGTTGAATCTCAACCTTGAGGGCCCCCCATCGCTCCGTCTCTAGAGCATTGTGGAAGAGGTAAATCGCGGGATGTGCCTCAATAGGTTAGGGTACAAGAGCTGCCATACTGATACCCACAAAAAGTCCAATTCCATACCTTGTACGAGACAAAAATGGAACCCTCACACTACGACCACCAACTCAACTAAAACTATCTCACTCTTATCCTTTACACCATTGAACTCTATCCCGAGGAGCATTTATCTCATTATTTATCAGTGTTGCGATTGGCTTTCTTAGATGGTACTATCAGCAATCTATGGGCATTTGATCATATCACAATTTGATCTGATTTTGACTATTCATTACTGAAACTAGGTTTTCTGACATCTGATTTGATTATTAATTCATCTTTCGACTTTCTGGTTGCACTTTTGTTTCTTATATACAACCATCATGTCATGCGCGTTCAAAAGAATCAACGACTTTTAACTGTAAAGTACTTTAGTTTTTTTATTGCCATATATCGGAGGTCTTATAATAATTACATTATTTTACCCCGCAACTTTACTTTTTCTTTTCACCTACTTGACCAATGCAATTGGAAACTTTTTAGGTACTCTCAATCCTCTCTGTTCATCTTTATTTGATTATATTTTGCACGCCTGAATTTATTTATACGTACGATAAAAGCATAAGAATAAAGAAATATATTTTTAATAATAATAATAATAATAAAAAAAGATGGAATCATTCAATCAACAATTTATAAACATAACAATCCAATCAAAATGACTTGGACAACATCAGCTTACATTTTTTATATATGCCCCTACCCATCAAGGGTTTAGTACCAAACATTAAAAAAAAAAAAAAAAATTCCTAGCCAGTCAAGTTGACCAATGGATGGTCGTAATGCACACGTTTAAACAGAACTGAAGAGTACAACTTAGTTTTTCTTAGTTTAAATATCTCGTGAAATAAGTAGTTAAAATTTTCGCAGTTAGTTAACGTGAGAACGGAAAATCCCTACGATGTTGATTAATTAGTGTTGACTAGACACTGATGGTGCAATGAGGTGATCGGTTGACTCGGAGTTTTTGCTCTTTGTTAGCAGGATCTTCTAACAGCAAAACCTTGTCTTTTTCTCGAACACCAACCATGTGCAAATATTCATGATTCTCCCTTTCTTTGCCTTTGAACAACAGCCTCTGCTCTTTGGGTTCCAATTTTGTTAATAATGATAACAGCATCTTCAATTCTCCTGAAAATAAAGAATAAGAAGAACAAAAGAACAAATTTGTTCATATTAATGAATAATGAAACATTATCGTCGTGTTTAGTAGGAAAAAGTTAAAATCTTGTTCTCGAGTTTTCTTACCAAATGTTGAAGTTGCTTGGACCGATATATCGTGCCATTGCGAGACAGTAGAGACTCTAATTGTGATGACTCCTTCACCTCCACTTTCTTTACATTCTCTCTTCTGGACAAGCATGCCTCCAGGACGGAGTTCCCATTTGATCTCACTGGTCATCATTGCACATGACTTGCTGCCTCCACCGCCACCATGGGTGGCGCCACCAGTACCTAGCTTAGAGCTGCTTCTTGAGAACCTCTTTGACCTTAACTTGATCATTTTGATTTCTCTCTCTAAACTCTAGTAAAAGAAGGGGAAAGAAGCAGTTGGACTAGGGTACTTATATATAGGCGGAGCTAGTATATATCAAATATAAAAGTATGTGTGTACGAAAAAGGTAAATTTCATCTGCAGTTACTGAACTATGACCGAAATCACAATTCAGTTATTAAACTTTAAGTTATCTCAATTAAGTCACTGAACTTTAATTTTTCAGTTTTAAATCTCACAATCCGTTTACTTGCCATATCACGAATTGATGAAAATTGCTTAATTAATAGTCATATCACATTTGATCTTCCATGTAATTATTGTATGTCATGCCAATTTATCATCACGTCACATCATAAAATTGCTAAATTATTATTATTATTATATTTTTTTTTTTAAAAAATAGTTTT